TCATATTCTTCTCGTCATTCTTTTGTCATAGGTTCAGCAATGTACCTGTTAGTCGAGGAAGAAGGAGGGTTGGTGGAAAAGATCTCTGGTGGTTTCTGGACATCATTAGCGTTTTTTGGTTGAGGATTGTTTGGTGCATTTGAGAGGAAAGCCATTGTTGAGGTGTTGAGAGAAAAAAATGAAGTAGACAGTACAATGTTGTAAGAAAGCAAGGGTTTGGAAATGCCGAAAGTGGTAAAAGTTCCCAATAGAAAAGCTTGGGAATATGTATAACCTTCAGGAGAAGGAGATGTCTCGTCAAGGGAATTTAATGTTTCGTAGGTAGTGGGGCACGTGGCAAGGCGTGAAACGGTTACCGTGTAGGCATTGGGAAACATTGGGACATGCTTGCCTAGATTATAGGAATATGGTCATCATGGCAAGCATGGTAACGGCAGTTTTAAAGAGACATCTTGGAGAAAAAGTAATGATGGTTTTTACCAAGTATAGCAGCTGTTAGAAGGCGAAAAGCACACGTCAAGACTTAGTAGACAACTGGGAAGACATGTGTCGAATGGGAAGTTCAAAGAATGGCTATTTCTTTGAGCGTCGAAATAGACATTCTTGGGGGGCAATTTGTTGGCTCCCAAATTCGACACTTACTGTATTTGGTCTTTTGGACCAAACAACTGGAATGAACTAAACCAGGAGGTATGATTCGACACATGAGATAACTTAGGAAAAAGGATCTAAGTTATGATAAGAATCTTCGACCAAGGGCTCATTCGACTGAAGCAGACTTATATTGCTCGACTGAAGGAAAGTGTTCACGCTTTGGCACATGGGATGAAGACCATTTGAAATTTGAATTATTGGAGGGAAAGGTAGTTTTCATCAGCGTCTAAGGAGAGGCAACGTGGCAAAAAGCTATGGGTCGAGAGGCATGCAGAAGACACTTGTCTTCATCCTAGCGCAGAATGTCCCCTTGACGGTTACCTACTTTTAGTATAAATTAAGAAGCTTGTGTAATTTTTAAGTGTGTTCAACCTATTGTACTAAATCACTCAAATATTATCCAAGTAACTACTGCGTGAGAAAGGATAAAGCCGAGCAATGTACGTTGGAAACACATTTTTTCCTTATTAAAAGTCTTTTTACATTACTTCATCATTATCCTGCAAAGATATCTTTTTACTTCTTTTACTTGCATTTTTACACTTTTGCTTACTTTTCAACAATCTCAAACATCCTTTCTCTGGGTCGAACGTGCGTTCTTCCTTCTTACTCATTTTACATAAATATTAGCATATATTCTGGGATTAGTTTGGTCGATCTCGTAAGTAAACCAAAAACCTTACCTTTTTGGAGATCAGCGGTTGTTTACCAAAAACAACGGTAAACACGTGGCTAGTGCTATCATCTCATATTCCATTATGGATTGAGCTAGGATAGTTTGTTTCTTTGATCTCCAAGATACAACTCCTCCATCTATACTAAATATATAGTCACTAGTAGCTTTGGAATCATCTGACAAAGTATTCCAATCTGCATCACTATACCTTTCTAGTAATACAGGAAACTTCTGATAATGTAGGCCGAGATCCATGGTCCTTTTGAGGTACCTCATGACTCGTTCAATAGCTTTCCAGTGCTCTTTACTCAGTATACTCATAAACTTGCATAACAATCCTACGACATATGCAATGTCGAGTCTAGTACAATAAGTGGCATACCTAAGACTGCCAATGATGCTCGCATATTATGATTGTCTGACACTTTCTCCAGTGTTCTTAAACAGTTTCACACTTGGATCATATGGTGTGCATGCAAGTTTACAGTCAAAGTATTTATATTTCTTTAAGATCTTTTTCACATAGTGTGATTGATCCAAAGAAATTTCTTGTTCGGATCTTGTGATCTTGATGCCAAGGATCACACTTTCTTCTCCGAGGTCTTTCATATCAATGTTGTTGTACAACAGTGATTTCACATCATTAATGGTCTGAATGTTTGATCCAAATATGAGTAGATCGTCTACATAGAGACATATGATAGTGCATATGTGATTCTCAAATTTATAGTAAACGCATTTGTCACTTTCATTCACGTTGTACCCATTTAATATCATTAAGTTATTAAATTTTTTATGTCATTGCTTATGAGCTTGCTTTATTCCATACAAAGACTTATCTAACTTACAAACTTTGTTTTCTTGTCCATAGATCACAAACCCTTCCGGTTAAAAAAGATGCTTTAACATCGATTTAGTGTACTATTAAGTTATAAACGTCACCATTCCACTAATTCGGGTTCCAAAAATTAATTCATTTAGACCGAACTGAGTCAGTCGGACAGACGGCGGTGCACGCCATGTGTGTCTAGATAGCTTATGCATGTGCTCTCACTCCTTTACAAAATTGAGGTGTCCCTTGGGACCCAATCCAATTGGCCAAGTTGGAATATATATACTACTAATATTTGTATTCTCTCATATGTAGGACTAAAATGAATCCTTTCAAATTCACTTTCATACTGGTTCTTATTTATGCTGATTTATTATCCATTTAATATCAATAAATCATTTCAACTCTTACTCCAAGTTAACATCATACCAAGATTTCTACCGTGATTCTAACATCTGTTTTCATTATTTTAGTATGATATAATTACTTCATTAAACATTTTATCACCTATATGTTGCGACCTCTGCCATGTTGACTTGTTTTCGACGCAATGAATTTTCTTTTGCAAGTGTGCTTAGTGCTTGTGAGAAGCGTGATGTCAAATATGGCTTGCAAATGCTCATATTACAATGTATAGAAAAAACTACCTTGCGCACCTCTGGCTGCTAGAGTGTCACTATTAAACAAAAAAAAAAGAATAATAACAAACTTTATTAACTTGAAACTGAAGCTGCTACATTTATATACTTGAAATGCATTTATTGTTAAAACTCAAATGCACCAAAATAATTGATATTTGCAAAAGTGAAAGATGATTTCAAGCATTAATTTCTCCATTCAATCTAATATTATATATATTGAACATATAATGACATGATTTCACAAGACATATAATGTTAAAGTAACTCTACCAATACTTGTACAGAGAAGTTTCAACACCATCGACATTAACAGTTTTTGCATTAATCTTATTTTTCATAGAGAACCACATTCCCTTCAACTTTGGCCGATACATAAGCTGGCACCAAACCACTAATCCCATCACCAACCACTGCAACTCTCATATCTTATCTTCTTCTTAATACAAGAACTAATTATTCCAAGACTACAAATTTTTAACCTCCATCCACTTGGTAATTCTTAAGTGCTGCAAATGTTTTACCTACTACAATTCCTTCCTAAAACATATGAAAATTTGGTCGAATACGAGTTATCTCCATGCGAGTCATAAGCTTTAACATCTCAGAAGTATTTACCATAAGCTTTAACCCGGTTATCTTCATGTGACTCGTAACTGCAACATCTTTCTGAATCAAATTTTCAAGTGTAAAAAGTACTGCAAGTCTGCAACACTAGAAGATATTTCCTACATTACCTTTTACTTTGTCTTTTAGAAATAATCTAATTCCTAAATACCCTATAAGCTTCTAACCTTTAATCACATTTTTCTCACTTTTAACTTAAGCTTTTTTCGATAAATATTTGAAACCATGGATAATTCCAGAGTCAGAAGTTAATATTGTACAAATGAGTGTCAACTTTAGGGAGGTTAGAAACCCCCGGATCTAAAATGTATTTATGCGGTATCACTTTAAGTGATATGTCGTGCAACTTGACGTGTCACCTTAACTTTCATAAGAGTTAAATTAATTTAAAATAAGATTTATGAATGATTATTTCTTATAAGAATGTAAACTTTTCACCTTTTTATATAGAAATAAAAAATGCCAAATTCATGAGTAAATTATATTTTCAGAATTAAAAAAATACTCAGTATAATTTGAGAAAACTTAAAATAAATATTGTATTATAATTTCCAACGTCACATATTCCTGAAAATAAAATTCAAATTCATAAAACAAACACACCGTTATAATCAACACTTTAAAATTAAGATATAACATTTTAAATTCGCTTATACACTATCAACTTTTCTCTCCATCTCTAATATTGAGAAAATATAAAAAGTTTTAAATGTATTACATAATTAATATATTTGAACTAAATATAAATTAAATACATTATATATTCAGTAAACCTAAAAAATAATTTTTTATAATAAAAACCAGAATAAGTTTTTTAATCGATGATAGCTGTATAGCTTTGACTATAGTAGTACTTGTGCTCTCCTAATCCTTGTTTGAATGGTTGATAGTTTCTAGTGCAAAATATTTAGTCATTCATGCATATCGGTAACCGCATAGATATAGACATCTTAACATCATTGCATATGCATTAATTAATCCACTAATCTCGAAAGCCAAGTGGTTGACAAAGAAATTAGGCAATGAAAACATGTAACCCCATACTTAACCAAACAATGCATGTGAACTTGTTAGCTAAAAGTTGAAACTTAACATTATTGATAACTTGCTTGAAACTTGAAGCTAGTAATGGAGTATAGGTCTACGGACTTAAATAAAACCACCAACCTTCACCTTCTCATATTAAATTCCTAACCGTTTTCTCTAAAATAAACCTCCCAAACCATCTTCCATTTTTGTATCATTTGCTTCTATTGTATAATAGCAAAAATTGAGTAGAGTTAACCATAGAGTAATGTGCATTAAAAATCTCTAAAATTTAAATTATTAAATAAATAACTAAAGATAATAAAATTTTATATTATTAGTTTATTGGTTGAATATACATTACCTAACTTTAATGATGGGTTGAAAAATTATCCCTTGTTATAAATAGGTAACCTTAGTAATAAAGCAATGCACTTGTTCATTTAAGAAACACAGAAACTTATTTTGAGATTGTTCCTTTTTTTCTCTCTCCCAAGATTATAACCATATTCTTGTCTTTGAGCTAGACAAAGAATAAGAACCAAGGATGTCAGATTGTAAGGTAACACTTGATTCAAAACTAACGGTTGTTTCAAGTAGACCTGTGAAATCGGGTATGACCCATAAGTTGCTGGGAGTGGACCATGGCATGGGTTATCATACACTGCATTTGATATTTTACTACAAGAATGAAGAAAAGTGGTTTGAGTCATTTGGATTGGATCCATTGAGGGAATCATTGTCTGAGGTTTTGTCTTTATACCCGACAGTAACAGGTCGGTTGGGCCGGGAGACGGAAGACGGTGGTGATTGGGAGGTTAGGTGTAACGACGCCGGTGTTCGGGTCATAAAGGCTAATGTGGATAGTACTATTGAAGAATGGCTATCATCGTCTAAGGGTGGCTCCGATGAAGTGCAGCTTATCGCTTGGGATGATATGCCTCTTGATACAAGTACATGGTCTCCTTTCCGAATTCAGGTAACACATTTAATTTCATCGATAACACATCACCTTCAGATCAGTTGATAGTTGTATAAAAACATCTGATATTCGTGATGATGTTGTTGCATGTTATGTTGCAGATAAATAGCTTCAAGGAAGGTGGAATTGCAATTGGAGTTAGTTGCACTCACATGATAGCTGATCTAACATTCTTATCATCTTTCTTCAAATCATGGTCACAAATTCACCGTCACGTGATTCCCATTTCTCACCCACCTTTCTTTACTCCAGTTTCATTCACTTCTTCACCAAACAACAACAATATGATGAGTCCAAATTCAGGACCAAAACCACAAACAAACATAACCTCTGCCACTTTCAAATTCTCAAGTTCAATCATAAAACAATTGGCCTCAAAATGTCCTGGTGCCACGGCTTTTGATATCCTCGCAGCTTTGTTTTGGTCTCGTGTTACTGGTTTGAAGGATTCTAAAATGTGTAAACAAAATCATTCTTTATCGATCTGTCGAGACTTTAGAAATCTTATCAACCCGAATCTCCCAGTTGATTATTTCGGAAACGCTTTACATTTTTCGAAATTTTCACTAAACTCCAAAGAAATTAAGAATGAAAACAAAATAGAAGACATAGCAAGTTTAATACACATGCACATGAAAGATGTTAGTGAGAAAGAAATTTGGTCTTCTATAGAATCGTTTGAGTCGGAAAAAGAATCGACACCGAAATGCATGTATGGTTCTTCTGAGTTAACATGTGTTTGCATGGAAGAGGAAGAGACAGAACCGTTGTTGTATGAATCAATGTTTGGTGATAATGAAAAACCAGCTCATGTTTCGTGTCGTATTGGGAATGTTGGTGGTGAAGGTTTGGTTATAGTGATGCCATCTTCAGAAGGAGGGTTTGCAAGAAATGTGATAGTAATGTTGCAAGAAGAAGAAGTTGATAAACTATGTAAGGATGAAGAAATATTGAAGCTTGAACCAACGATTATATTTTCTGGTTGAAATAATTAATTACTTTACTTGTGCTTAAAATTATTATTCAATCTATTTCAATATTATTGTTGTTTCAACTAATGAAATTTATTTTAAAATAAATGTTATTCTCATATTTTTTAAATCATGTTATTGATTATTATTTTGTAAACTATTTTCAACATTGGTGAAGTTAATTTATTATTGATATTTTGACATGTATTAAGAGATGTAATTATTATTTTACAAAAAGAGAAATTATAATGAATTTTACTATAAAATTGTTATAATTAATGGTATATGACGGAGCCACATGGGCTGATGCCCCCACCATATTATAAATATTTGTTATGATTAGTATTAATCACAATGACTCATATTTCAATTAGAAATATTGATGTACATGTTACTTATGTTGAGAATAAATTTGATTAATTTAAAGCAAAGATTATTATATGGTCTCCAAATTTGTTTGTAGTATTATAATAAAACTTGAGAGTGTAGAATTAAAAGGAGTTAGTGATATTTTTATAAAAGTTATAACAAACGAATTTCTATATTTTATGTTTTCATTGGGAGTTATATTTAAAGCTACTAAAAATTTTAATTGTTGAGATTTTTTTAAGTATGAGTATCATCAAAAATAAATATGGAACTGTTGTCTTAATATATCATATTTTCACTTTTTTTTAATATCAAAATAATTATCACTTTAGAATTTTTAACTAATACTTATTATTTTTACTAAAATATTTTTATTTATTGAATTTATATTTTCATATTTAACTATAGTTATTAAAAATATTTTAATAAATAATATTAAATTTACTATGAAATATAATTCTTTTATAAAAAACACCATAATTATTTTTCATATGTGATTAAAATAAGCATTCAATTTATATGTATAAAAAAATAATTATTCATTGACTTATTTTATAGGATATCGAGACATTTGATCTGAACATAACAACACAGGCAAGATATAAACATTGAAAACAGTACTGAAAAACATAAACAACACACCAGAATTGTTAATCCAGTTTGGAGCAATCTTCTACTCTGGGGGCATACCAAGTCAGTGACAAATCCACTATGATAGTATCAATTCGAAGCTAAACTGTTATGTTTATAACTTTTCACTTAATCATTATTTGTGATATATTTCTATCTAAGACTCACATAGATACGAGGCCCTCCTCAATCCCTCTTCAATCACAGACAACGATTGGATCAAAACAGGAAGACACACTTCCATGACATCAAAATAGAAGACACACTTCCATGACCATACCTAGCCAAGACTCTTGACTAAGAACACAACTTGGAGTTTCTTACAAGATTCGTCCAAGAACAATACTCAACTCATTACTTCACAGCTTCTGAGTGAGAACACAGTGACCATCTCACAAACCGAGTGGTTCACACATACCAACTCTCCTAGAGAGCGGCACAAAGACAAAGCCTTAGACTTCTACATCTTGAACCCGTTTTTTTCCTAGGTTACAAAGATTTCTATTTATAACATATACCCAACTGAATTTGAGCCTTCAAAATACAGCTCTTTGGTTGTTACATATCAGCAGTAACTTCTGCTACAAACAAGGTCTTCAATCATTGGTTTTCTAAAATATATCCATATTTAGAAACTACATATTCTTCAATATTCTGACTTGATTCTTCTTGACCTTTAAATCAGCGCCACATAATATTGCAAAATATTCCCAGAATATTCTGCATCTGTTAAATCATAATTGAATCCATTAATTTAGCTCAGCTCAGGCGCAAAGTCGTATGCTCCTTTATAGGACATCTTATCTGACATGTTGCTCCAGATGTTGCAACACTTTAACTCAATATGTCCCAATATAAAATAGAATTTTTTGCTAAAGATGTTCATCATAGCAAGATAACACATCCTATTTAACATATTGCTGCTATATTTGTTTTACAAAAATTAATGTCAACCTTAAAACTAAATAACTTACAATCTCTCCCTTTGACAAATTTTGCCTAAAACAAATACATTAAAAATTACAACCCAATATTACAGCAATAAGCAAAAACACCCACCAACGGTAGTCCTCAGAAACTACTGAACATAGCAGCACAACATCATGGAGTTAGTCTTCAATAAAGATGTTAGGACATCTTTGTTTGACATCTTCTTTGTACCAATATGAATGAAATCCATTGCAACGATAACTTCAGCACCAACGAACAACACCTTCAAGAAAAATAGTAGAAGATCTTGAAGTATGCTGGTGTACATGAGGAAGAAGATAGGAGTCACTCCCCCTCAAACCAAGACATATTTAAAAGACTAATGATGGCATAAGAAATACCAATGGTGGCATAAGAGAATCCTTTATTATTTGATGATCAGCAGCCACCAGTAGACTTAGAGAAATCAACCACCACCCCTGATAACTCAGAACACATGTCACAACTATGTTCATAACTCAGATCACAGGTCACAAAACCAAAGTACCGACCACAAGATAGAACATCTTATCCGACATTTGTGCATAACATCTGGAAATGTAAACTCCATATTGACCCTCTGAGCAAACTCTTTCTCCCCCTTTTTTTTTTCAAAAATTGACAAAGGAAGCCTTCATAGAACCAGACCCAAACACAGTTTACCTAGACCCAAACAAAAGCCATGACTATTATGGATACACTAAACACTCCACGGTGAAAGAGGATAGGAGAAACCTTTATAAGTAGTTGATCAGTTTCTTAGGAATCAACGATCTTGAATGACACAAAATTCTCGGTCAAGGAAAACGTTAATTTAGGAGAAGATTACTGCTAAAACAAAGTGCATCGTCCAAAACTGCTTTGAATGTCTTTATTAGCTCTGGACAGTTTCTGAAAAGAAAAAGTCCCAATAGATGCGCATTCACATTCAAGCACACTTTATACACTCTATTAAAACACGTGTTTGGTCACACTGTCCACATAACTTCTTCGTTGATCACACAGGAAACATATCCTAAATAATATCCTAACATCCAGTCAGACACTGTCTTCTTTACACCGACCAACACATCTTCAACCACACTGTCTTCCAATGAATTCTAAGTGTTCTCCTTTCACTTAGACTTAGTGACACACACCAATCTGAATATTACATTTGTGACATCTATCAATAATAAATACCCTTAGAGAGTCCTTCAAAAAAGTTGTACAGAAAAATAAATTCTCTTAGACTTAACCATTAAACATACAAGAGATACGTGAACTTTTGATTGTTCATCCAGCTTCACATGGCTAGAACCAACCATGCCTTTCAAGATCACCAATAACTTCATAATGTTACAACATGTTGTCTGATATCACACCCTTATAAGAGGCATAAGATCTCCACAAGTTTGAACAACACGCAAACAATGTATGTACCATTGCAACAACAATCCATAAACAAATACATGACTCCCCTGTCATGAATAACCAATGCTCCAGCTGAAGATAAAAACTTGAGCACTAGATGAAAACACATGAAAAACTTCATGTTCTCATGTTGAAGAACAACACTTTCCCACATATGATGAACCCCCGACTCCCTCAGTAGAGTCAAACTAGAGTCAGATACCGTCACTCCTTGAGAATACATCCAAAAACTCTTACTCCTTCCAACACATGGACACCTCTGATCACCGTCCTTTCATAACCACACTATGTATTATGACCTTTTGAATAGGCAAGATATCATACATACTAGGTGTGAAGTCACTCACAAACTCCAAAAATTCTTAGTTTGCTTAAAAGCTTTACTAAGATCCAGATTATCAACACTCATCTGGAGTGACTTGCAGTAGAAGAAAAACACCTTCTCAAAACACTCTACTTAGGTCTCAGTATCTGTCAGCAGTCTTCTTCCCTTACATCCACTAGTAGTTGTTGATACTAGTGGAGTCTTCAACAAAGTAGTCATGTATTCACCAAGCATATTACTGTAGACAAAACCAGAATTTCCACATTCTAATTCACAAAGTCAGAAATGCCACTCCTGACAATAATGCTTGAGCATCCAACTTCACATGCACAATCCCAAGCAAAAAAAACACAGCCATCAATGAATCAATGATCATGATGTTACAACATCATTTGGGACATCATCTTCTTAATACAGAACCTAATCACTCTGGTTCTTAAATTAATTCAAAGGACTCATTGTGCATAGAAATATTTTATGAAGCTCTCAATAGAACACACAGCCAGTGCAACTTACTCAGGTTATTCCAAACACTTGAATGCTATAGAGAGAAATAAACTCTCACATACTCTTTGAAACACAATGTTTAGAATGCAGAATTGCATAACTCCTCAAACAAATACTTAGTCTACCGTCAAAGTATTCACCATCAGTCTCATGCACAACCTCCTTAGAAGATAATCAAATACTCATCTCCCATCAAAGTATTTATCATAGGTCAGATGATATTATCTTCTCATGCAAGGTATGACATTTGGTTTGACAATCTTCTTCTGTACACATCTGGAACCAGCTGATGAAATTTATTCACACCTTTTAATATTCTAGATTAGGTCAGTGGCTTGACCTTAAACTCCACTCTGATAACAACAACTTCCTTGGGTGAAAGAATAAAACACACTTTGAGACGATGTTCCAACATCAGATTTGACATCAGTCTCAAACACATGTATTTCACCATTAACTATGGTCTAGAGACACCATAGTAATCCATAACTCTTGCAAGGGATACAAGATGATCAACCATCAGTAATTGATCAACCTTCAAACTCAGACCAATACATGTAGATCATGCACACTTAAGAAGATTTCTTCTTATAAGCACAATGTTCAGACCTCATGTCTGACTTTAAGGTGTTGGATGCCATTCTTCTGCACCTAAAGAGCAGAGTCCCTCTAACAGGTATCTGGAGCAGACTTCAACAATAATGGCATTTACTGGTCATCACGAAATAGATTGTTCAGAATAAGTCTGTTTCTTCAACATACAAGGATTCCCTTCAATCCTTGCAAAAAATATGTTCCATTA